ATCAGCAGTAAACACAACGGTACTCTCCACCACTATACTCACATCATAACTAGTAATATTAAGGAGTACATGACAGGAATTTGACTTTATCTTTTACTTTTGAATGCACTGGCCAGTCTATAGGCCTACATGTTTTCTAATTTTATTTGTATGTTTTCAGTATTAAATAGTGTTTGCAAAAAATATTTTATTTGCCACAAACAGTTGCAAAACCCATCATAAGTCCTCTTTAATTCATAAGTCCTCTTATATATATATATATATATATATAACTAATAAACTATACAAAAGTACTCCAGTATGTAAAACAGTAAAGCACATGATCAATTCAATGAACAAAAATTATTTGGAAAAATTGTCTGGATGGTTCGAATCAGCACAAGGGTGGAAAGCAACCGTAACCTCCACACAATAGCATTTATGTGAAGATGTCTTTGAGAGGGCACCACGTCAAGCATAGTGATGCAGAACTTTTGAAGAGATCTTAAAGTTTGAGATCTCAAAGAAAAGAACTCTATGCTGGGAAAGAGTTTTGAACCAAATGCAAAGGTTCAAGTCCAAAAAAGTCTTGCTTAAGATGTTGCAACATGCTCTATTACAGCCCACTTTCAAAATAGCGCTTTAATGTCTGTTGATGTGAGCTGTTTATATACTGTTAATATTTTGTTTTATTATTGCATATATGCAATCATATTTTTCATATATGAAAATGTTCTTACATATTCAAACATTTTCAAAACAAACGACAGAGAGTAGAGAATTAAAAAAAAAAATAGTTCACCCAAAAATAAAACATTTACTCACCCTCTGGCCATTATCTGGCCATTAAAAATGTGTTTATTCATGGGAATATATTTGGAGAAATGTAGCATTCCATCTTTTGCTCACCAGTGGATCCTCTGCAGTGAATGGGTGCCGTCAGAATGAGAGTCCAAACAGCTGATAAAAACATCACAATAATCCACACCACTCCAGTCTATCAGTTAATGTCTTGTGAAGAGTCCATAATTCTTAATAATGGTTCCTCCAGTGTAAAAGTCTACTACATCTACTGTATCTACTGTTGTTCTCACACATCAAACTCTGCCAACGTATTTGTTTAAAACTGTTTTGGACTGTTTTTGCTTGTAAACGGTGCTTGATCCTCCTGATCCAGACAAGATGACTTTTTCACTAATAGAGGAAAAGTAATATTATGGGATAATATTATGGATTATGGACTCATATTTTAGCCAGAAGCAATGGTTTGAAGTTAAAAACGTCATGATGGATTTGTTTCTTACAAACACACAGCTTTTCGCTTCATAAGACATTAATTGATGGACTGGAGTGGTGTGGATATCTTGTTGATTATTGTGATATTTTTTATCAGCTGTTTGGACTCTCATTCTGATGGCACCCATTCACTGCAGAGGATCCACTGGTGAGCAATTGATGCAATGCTACATTTCTTCAAATCTGTTCTGATGAAAAAACAAACTCTACATCTTGGATGGCCTGAGAGTGAGTAGATTTTCAGCTAATTTTATTTTTTGGGTGAACTATTCCTTTAAAGACATGAGACTGCCATGTTCACCCTGATGTAAATTTGTGTTTCTGTTTATTGGCGTTGGTGAATCAATCGATTGTCTGTGCACAGAGGGTGATGATGATTGGCTAGACACAACAGAGGAAGAAAACTTACCCCATATCCCATACACCCCAATTCAGTATTCTGCTACTGAGATGCTGGAACGTTCTGAAAAGTTCTACTCGCTCATGAATCTGAGACGGTCTGTCCGCTTCATCAGTCCAGAACCGGTACCAAAACAAGTGATTGACAATGTTATACGCACTGCAGGTAATGCAATCACAATGATGCAATGGGCTGAATTTGTTGTGTGATTTGGAAGAGGTGGCAAATTCCTATTCAGCTCAAAAGCCTACCCTTTGTCCCTGTGTGTGTGTGTGTGTGTGTGTGTGTGTGTGTGTGTGTGTAAGGCACTGCACCTAGTGGAGCTCACACTGAGCCCTGGACGTTTGTGGTGGTGTCTGATTCAGATGTCAAACACAAGATCAGAGAGATCATTGAGGAGGAGGAGGAGATCAACTACAAGCAAAGGATGGGAGACAAGTGGGTCCATGACCTGAAGAAACTGAGGTGCGTTTCAAACAGACATAATATGTAGACATAATGTGTAGTTTTATGCAAAATATTTATTAGTTTTATTATTACTGTACTATTACTATGTACTAGTATTATGTATTCATATAATTTAATTAATATGTATTAATAAATTGAATATAACAATTACAGCCATAATAAAAATGTGTTGACTAAAACTTAGCTATGACATTAGTGCCCCCTTGTGTTTTTTTATTTTTATTTTTTTTTACCATGGTTAATGTTGTTTCAAACAGTTAAGAGGTCACATAATAATAATAATAATAATTATTATTATTATTATATTACGATTTTTGGTAGGATCTACAGATAAATATAGATATTATATTTGATCATTATTATAATAATCACAGTGTTTTAATAAAATCCTATAGCTGTGTTACTAGAGCCCTCTTGTGGTTTATGTTCGTTCTACTATAACTCATTTTATTTCAAGAATTTATATGACTTTCCAATTCACTAAATAACAAGCAAGTAAAGGTGTCTTTCACAGGACAAACTGGGTGAAGGAGTATTTGGATGTGGCTCCGTGTCTGATTCTAGTGTTTAAGCAGACATATGGAATTCTGCCCAATGGCAAGAAAAAGACTCACTATTATAATGAAATCAGTGTGTCCATTTCCTGTGGCATCCTGCTGGCTGCTCTGCAGGTCAGACACAAAAAAGCTATTTCACAAACACACAAATCAAACATTTGATTATAAAAAATGTGGATCTGTGATTTAAATGATGTGTAATATTCCATTGTTCTCTGTATTGATTACATATTTTGTGTTAGAATGTGGGGCTGGTTACCGTGACAACGACTCCTCTGAACTGCGGTCCACAGCTCAGGTCCCTCCTCCAGCGACCGGCCAATGAGAAGCTTCTAATGCTGCTTCCTGTTGGCTACCCTGCATCTGACGCCGAAGTGCCTGACCTCAAACGCAAGGACCTAAATGACATCATGGTGACTGTGTGACATTACCAACTGCGATAAACAAATGTAATGCAATAAAAAGGCCAATATACAGACCTGTTGTGAATAAAAAGAAAAAAGCGTTTGGCAAATTAGACCAAATGTTCTCATCTTACTGCTATATTTTTATTATACCTTACCATAAAGGGATGTTACAGTAATAGTTTACATAGGGACACAGTTCCTCTCACATTTTGCATGGCTCTTTTAATGTACGCTTCATATATTATGAATCTGCTGTGATTTATGCAAAACATTAAGTACGTGTTTGTATTTTCCCATGCTAATGCTTTATGATGTTTTCTACAATCTCACTGACATATTTGAAAGGGCTTCATGTTTCGTTTACGGTCATTGCAAGATAATGCAATCTGTATCGCAAAGATCATTTTTCAATAATCATCTCTAAATTACAGTCCACCATGGGTTTATTACTGTAACAACGCATATATAGTTAAAGATGAAGTGTGTTATTTGTTAGATGTTGAAATACTTTATTCTGCCCCATCTTATTATGCAGAGACATAAGCTTTGTAGGATAATTCAACAGAAAAGTGTAAACACTTTGTTCTATAATTTGTAATATATATTAAATTAGAAAAAAGTAGATAGAATAGAAAAAGAGTCGAGAACGCTAGTGTTAGAGGGTAATTGTTTTATAATAAATATAAAGAAAAGTAGATAGAATAGAAATAGAATAGAGAATGCTAGTATTAGAGGGTAATCTTTTAATAATAAATACAAAGAAAACAAGTAGATAGAATAGAAAAAGAGTAGAGAACGCTAGTGTTAGAGGGTAATTGTTTTATAATAAATATAAAGAAAAGTAGATAGAATAGAAATAGAATAGAGAATGCTAGTATTAGAGGGTAATCTTTTAATAATAAATAAAAAGAAAAGAAGTAGATAGAATAGAAAAAGAGTCGAGAACGCTAGTGTTAGAGGGTAATTGTTTTATAATAAATAAAAAGAAAACAAGCAGATAGAAAAGAAATAGAATAGAGAGTGCGAGGTGCTAGTGTTAGAGGGTCAAGTTTTTTATAATAAAGAAAACAAGTAGAATAGAGAATGCTAGTGTTAAAGGGTATATATAATTTTTTATAAACTTTATTATTTTATTTTTATTATAATTTGAGTATAAATAATTTTAGTACTTTTATTTTGTACCCAAACGGGGCTTTTATTTTGAAAAATAGAGGTGAAATGTGTTATTTGCATTAGATGTTAAAATCCTTTCTTCTATCCCATGTTATTATGCAGAGATAACTTGTGTAAGCTATTTGTAGAATTCAACAGAAATTACAAATGAATTCGAGCACTTTTATTGTTTTATTATTATTATTGTTGTTGTTGTTGTTTTACCCAAACAGGGCTTTTATTTTGGAAATACATTTCCTGTACGTACAAAAGAGTTGACGTATTTGACGTTAACTAGCACAGGAAGTACTTTTTTATTTACTTTTTATTATAATTTGAGTATAAATAATTTTAGTACTTTTATTTTGTACCCAAACGGGGCTTTTATTTTGAAAAATAGAGGTGAAATGTGTTATCTGCATTAGATGTTAAAATCATTTATTCTATCCCATGTTATTATGCAGAGATAACTTGTGTAAGCTATTTGTAGAATTCAACCGAAATTAAAAATGAATTCGAGCACTTTTATTGTTTTATTATTATTGTTGTTGTTTTCTTACCCAAACAGGGCTTTTATTTTGGAAATACATTTCCTGTACGTACAAAAGAGTTGACGTATTTGACGTTAACTAGCACAGGAAGTTCTTTTACTTGACAGCTTTCCTTAATCGACTATCTTACTATAAGTTGGTTTGCCAACCGCCATTAAATTTAAAAGAAGAAGAAGAAGAAGAAGACTATCTTACTAGAGATATTACTAGTAAATATGTAATATATCTCAACATTTTCTAATTCGACTGTTATGCGTCAGGCTCGCTGAGGGCAGCGGTGTAGTTTGAGTGAGTGAGAGTGTTTGTGGAGGTGGAGGAGATGTGCTCGCTGGAGAAGGTGCTGGGCGACGCGCGGACGCTGCTGGAGCGGCTGAAGGAGCACGACACGGCCGCGGAGACTCTCATCGAGGAGTCGAGCGTCCTCAACCACAAGATACACAGCATGAAGGAGGTCGAAAACACTCTTCCTGACAAGGCATGATATGAAATCTCTTACTGACCACCCTGCAGAGCACACATATGACCTCGAAGAGCATGCAGGGACAGATTACAGTTGTGTGTGCATGTGTTATTGCATGTACATTACACAATATGAGCCATTTATTGTTGCACAGCGTGTGGTTAAGTGGGTAAGATCTGGACTGATGAATCAAAGATTTTAGTTCAGATGGGTAGTTAGTTTAATGATTGTCAGTGTTGCCCTTGATCAAGACGCTAAACTGCTTTACTCAGTATTTTTTGTCTTGTTTTCCAGTACAAATATATAAATATTCCTAAATCAAGATACATTTACTTGAAAGCAAAATATTAGGTCTTTGTTTCTTAAAAATAAATAAATAAATAAGATCAAGTTTATGCTTAAAACAAGACAAAGCATCTGTCAACAGGGTAAGAAAGATCAACTTAATTCAAATAATAAATTTTTCTTACTACGTTGACCATTGACTACCATCTATTTTTCTTGATTTTAATAAACTCATAATTTTTATAACATTTTTTGAAAACAAGACTTATGTTTTATATCTTATGTTATTTTCCTTCTCACGTAAATGTATTTTGATATTTTTATTGGAAAACAAGACTTATGTTTTATATCTTGTTATTTTCCTTCTCACGTAAATGTATTTTGATATTTTTATTGGAAAACAAGACAAAAATCCTAAGTAATTATTATTTTATTATTTTTTTTTTTTTTGCAGTGTAAACCTCAGAGGTCTGAACTTATGGATAACAGCTTGGAATACAGTGCAATATTAAAATTGGGCTGATAATACATTTTTGTGTAAATGCTGATACTAATATTGTGCCTGATATTATAAATCTGTACTGCTGTCATGCATATTAAAGCTGTCTTTTATTTATTTTTATTTTTTTGTAAAGCGAAATTAGGAATAAAAACATAAGATACAATCTTGACGGTTTAATTTTATGAAGAATATTTGTTAATATTTTTTGCATTGTGTTGCAGGTCGGATTGAATTTAATTTTTTAATAATAATAATAATAAATGTCAAAATTATGTATAAAATTGAGAACCCTGCAACTAAAGATTATTTTAATTATTGGTTAATCTGTTGTTTATTTTCTTAATCTGAAAAAAGGTCAATTATTATTCTTGTATATATATATATATATATATATATATATGTATATATATATGTGTGTGTGTGTGTGTGTGTGTGTGATTTTTATTTTATTTTTTTTATCGATCATCAAATTTGTTATCAATTATTCTCATTCTTGATTATTGTTGCTTTTATAGATTAGTTGTTACAGCCCTAACTAATATTTTGATAATCAATTAATCTATTGATTATTTCATTGATTAATCACATAAAAAATACATAGATAGACACATAATGTGCAGCCTGAATTAATTGATAATCAAATTAGTTGTCAATTTAGTTGTTGCAGCTCTAGAATCCTGTATATGATGCGTCTAATAGCTAATAAATGAAGAATAACCAGTATCCACCGATTATGAATTTCTGTTTTTCCTGTATTTAGTACATGGAGGAAAGCACAGAGTATCAGGAGCTGTCCAGATACAAACCTCACATCCTGCTGACCCAGGAGAACACCCAAATCAAAGACCTCCAGCAGGAGAACAGAGGCAAGTCAGCGCGAGTTTCTTCAAAGTGTCTCGCATTTGTTGAGTGAATCCCTGATTCGACTCTTTGTGCTGTTCACAGAGCTCTGCCTCTCTCTGGAGGAGCACCAGTACGCTTTAGAGCTGATCATGGGCCGATACCGAAAACAGATGCTTCAGCTGATGATGGAAAAGAAAGAGCTGGATGCCAAACCTGTGCTTAGCCTTCACCAGGATCAAGCTAAGGTGCCAGACCTTTGCTTTCTTAAAAGAATAGTTCATCCAAAAATGAGGATTTATTGTAAATGTACTCACCCTCAGGCCATCCAAGATATAGATGAGTTTGTTTCTTCATCAGAACAGATTTGGAGAAATGTAGCATCACTTGCTCACCAATGGATCCTCTGCAGTGAATGGGTGCCGTCAGAATGAGAGTCAAAACAGCTGATAATCCACACCACTCCAGTCCATCAATTAATGTCTTGTGAAGTGAAAAGCTGCGTGTTTGTAAGAAACAAATCCATCATTAAGGCGTTTTAACTTCAAACCGTCGCTTCTGGCCGAAATATGAATCCATAATCTATAATAACGCTTCCTCCAGTGAAAAAGTCCATCCTATGTTGTCCTCTCACATCAAAATCCACTCACATATTTGTTTAAAACTGTTTTGGACTGTTTTCACTTGTAAACAGTGCTTGATCTGTGCTCAGACGCGATTTCTTTTTTTTTTTTTTACTGGAGAAAGCAATATTATGGATAGAGGACTTGTATTTTAGCCAGAATCAATCTTTGAGGCTAAAAACATCTTAAAGGTCACATATTTTACACCTTTCTGGAGTTGTATTTTAGGTTTTGATGTCCTTAGGAATATATATTTGCCCAACGGTTCGTGAAAAATCACAGCTACTTTATGCAGGTTGTGTGCATTTTACTGTGGACTGACTGTTTTGGAACGTATATGGTAGTTAAATAGCCCCTAGACCTCGGTTATCATGAAAAAAGCCAGGAAATTTCAGTTTTGACAATATGGGACCTTTAATGATGGATTTGTTTCTTACAAACACACAGCTTTTCTCTTCACAAGATGTTAATTGATGGACTGGAGTGGTGTGGATTCCATTCTGACGGCACCCATTCACTGCAGTGAATCCATTAGCAAGCAAGCAATATGATGCTAAAATTTCAGCAAATTGTCATTTTTGGGTGACCTATTACTTTAAAATTGTGCATCAGTTTCTTTAAGTTATTCTGATGGCATGTTCAAAAATCAGGCAGAATGAAACCTAAAATAAGTCTTTATTCCAGGAGGTTCAAAGCCAGTTGGAGCGGATCTGTGAAATGGGTCAAGTAATGCGTCGAGCTGTGCAGGTGGACGACCAGCGCTACTGCTCTGTAAAAGAGCAATTGGCACAGCTTGAAGTAATGGCTTTATTTTAATACATCAGCTTATAATTTCTGCTTTTGTATGTTCATGTAATGCATCTTTTTGTTGATGCAGATTGAAAACAAGGAGCTCAGGGGTCTGCTGTCCATCAGCAACAGCTCCGTGAGGCCGCAGAGAGAGGAGACAAACCCTGCAGAGACGGCAGCCCAGAGCCCGAAGAAACAACAGCCCTAATAGAGGAAATCTTACTTTAGATGGCAGTTTGTATATTTGTATGTCGGTGACCTGGCGTCATAATATCTGTATTGGGTTCTCTAGTGTTGAATTGAACTGTCCTGGCGGGGGTTTAACTTCCTGCTGCCTGATGATGCACTTTCTGATGTTTATTATTAATGATGGTAGTGTTTTTGTTCAGGAAAGACGTATAACCTCTTCAGTTTTTTAATAATAGATGCTTAATAACTTTAAGTAAATTTGCATTATAGATCAGTTCTGGCTCTATTTCTGTTTGCATTTTCCAAAAAAAAAAAAATTGGTTTATTTTAAAATTATTGATTTTTGTCTTAAATTGATTTAGCCTTTGCAGGATTATAGGTCTTTTTAGGTCACATGATTAAATTGTGTTTGGAGTACATTCTATATTTGTGAAAACAGATTATTAACAGGCCTATTAACTAACTTCAGCATAAGATCAGATGTATGTATCAGCAGTATTGCATCTTTCAACAGTTTGATGTTATAATCTCGTGCGTCGTGTAACATGTACAGCACACCTCCACAGTTTTATGATCAGAGTCCTCTTAAAATGGCCTTTAGACAATTGCCAGTCTTTGTATTGTAAATCGTTGTATTTTCATCTCAGGAAAGCAATCATATGTACTGCAGTTGTTATTTTGTAAAACACAATATGTAAAATAAAATACAAGTATTCCAAGTTTAAACGTGATGAGTTTTATATTTCATCAGAAGGTTGATGTTTGTGTGATAAATTATGAAGTGTGATATTGAATGTTTTAACGTTTTCTGAAACCTAGAATCCAGTGTGACAGTTAATTTCACTAAATATATAAATATTCTTTTTACATGTAAAATAAACTAAAGGGATATCATTTTTTAATAATTTGTAATACTTTTTAAATTATAATTAATTTTTAATGAAACTTTCCATTAAATAATTTTCACCCATAATATTAAAAAAATATTTAAAATTAAATACTTATTTTAAATTATATTTTTTTATATTTTCTAAATATTGTATGTATGTATATGTAAATATATATATATATATATGTGTGTGTGTATATATATATATATATATATA